TATATATATATGTATATGTGTATATGTGTATATATATATATGTATATCTGTGTATATATATGTATATATATATATGTATATCTGTGTATATATATGTATGTATATATGTATGTATATGTGTATGTATGTATGTATGTATATGTGTATGTATGTATCTATATATGTATATGTATATATATATAGCAACTTTTATATTGGTAACTTATTTGATGGAATGGCCTATGTCTGATATTTAACTGTATCACTAATATCGGTTGATAACGATACCATGCCTATAATGCCTATAATATTGTGCATCCCTAGTCCTGATTCTTGTACCCTGCTGTAGATTTTTGTATACAGTAAAAATGAAAGAATATTCATGTACACCTCACTCCTATACTGCATTTCTGGGTAAATTATCTTTTTTTGTGTGTGTGCACATATCCATCTGTGTTTGCTTTTCAAGGACTTTATTTTATTTTTTTGGACTACATGGAGATTGGCAAACTATTTTTCTGCTCTCTGTGACACTTTTGGATGTTTTATTGTATATCCTGCTGTTGTATAATCCTCACACTGCAGTGCTGCGATGATAAAAAGCCATTGGTAAAAAAATAAATGCGGCAGTCTTAACTGCTGTTCACTGACATTTGAGTGAAAAAGACATGACTCATCTGGCAGAATAATGGCCTTGACGAGCAAACACGAGGTATTTTCAAACTAGCGCACTGTCAAAACATTTATAAATCAACTTAAAAGTGAATTTCTATTCCAGTTCATAAAGAAAGACAATTATATCCTAGAACAGAGAAAGGTTTGATGTTTTATTTTATGAAACACTTGGGAAGGTCATGCAAGTTCATATTTTCATACGATTAAATATCAACAAGTTGCCCATAGTAGGTCCACCAGTCTTAAGTTTGTATTAAAGATGGTTTGTTGGTTTTGCTTATTGGTCCACAAAAGATGTGCCAAAACTGTTTTTCTGAGCCAGGATACTCTCAGATGTCTCGGTCTGGATATGTAGCTGGTCATTCAGGGCCTGGCCTACAGGAAATGAAGGTGGTTTGTTGATGGTTGATTCAGTATTTAACATTCACGTTCCTTTACCTTCTTTACCATTTATCAGTAATTCATCGTGATTTAGAGAAACTCTGAGTCATTTTTTGGCCACACACTGCATGTAACTCAAACCTGAGTGGTTAGAGGAAATCAAGCGGAGGTTAATGCACTTTAGATTTATTCAGCTCGGGCTGTGGAGTTTCCTTATATCGTGATCAGTTTTAGTGTCAGGCTACGGGAATGAGTGGCTTTTTACATTTTAAATAAATCCATCTAAACTGGCTTCTAACTTAAAAAAGAAGTGAAACTATGCACTTGAGTCTTGAGTGTTTCTTTCAAACCAGTGGATGGAATGCAATGAAACTCTCAAAAAGGAATTACTGACTTTATGCCTACGACTAGATACCTATTGGAGTCAATCCAATTTAAGGCAGGCGTCAAAGCAAATCAGCTTTAGCCTACACAAGAATAAATACACCTTGGTGAAACTTCGCAATATGCATAAGATTTTGCAATATTTTAAAGGTTTTAACCAAAATGTCTATAATTCAGTTGTTGCTCAACATAAGATCCATCCATTAACTTTACCTGCTTCTTCCTGTCCGGGTTGCTGGTGCCCATATCCAGTAGTTGGTATGCGAGAGTCAGGGTACAATCTGGACAGGTTGCAAGTCCAACTTAAGATGATTTTAGTTTAAAATGTTTGAATGAAAAGCCGTTGAGTGATATACATTTCCTTTAGGAATGCAGACCCTTTAATTCTTAGTATTATAGCTTCAGTGTAACTCAAAGTTTGGATAAGTCTTAAACATTTATTCATTTTATTTTCTCTGCAGGCGTGTCCACGCGTGTTGCCGTTGTCGACACTGTGACTTCACGGCACCGGATTCGTCAGCCCTCCTCGATCATTTTAATTCTGCCCATTGTCACGAGTCCTCTCCCACATTAGGCTCCTTGCCCACCTCACTGACACCTTCGCTAACTCTGTCAGCCAATGGCTGCTCAGCTCCCTCTACCTTAGCCATTAAAGAAGAGAGCAAAGGGGACTTTCGCCTCCTCTACTCCCTCGCACCACCTGAGGGACGCTTGGCAGAAGGAGGCAGGGAGGAGGCAGGTGGGGTGGTAAAAAGTGAGGGAGCCGAGGAGAAAGAGAGAGAGCGGGAGAAAGGCTGGGTTCTTGGTGAGACAAGAGGACAGGGTGAAAGAGGAGGCGAGCAGGCCCACGGTTTACTCTGGGTGCCCAAGGAGCGAATGGGACCTGAACGAGGGGTGGAAAGAGGAGCAGGAGGTGGGAGTCCCTCTTTATTCCCTTCCCCACTCTCACTGTCTTTTGTTTCAGCCAATCATGAGGCCCCGCAGCAGAAAAGAGGGGTGGCTTCACCTAGCATGGTTTACCTGGGAGACACCAAGTCATTTTTGGGAGATACCAAGTTGTTTTTGGGAGATGCCAAACTCTATGGAGGGGGGAGAGCAGGAGGAACTGCCGCAGGAGGAGGGGAGAAGCAGAGCCAGACCCCCCCTCAACAGTTTGCAGGTGGAGGTGGAGGAACACAGGAGGGGAAGGGAGGCGCCACAAAAGAGGAGTCCCAATCCTTGCTGAGGGTGAGTAGATTCTTCTCCTTTTGTTTCCATTATTTCATGTGGATCTTTATATGATGTTGCCCTCTTGTTATAATGTGTATCATTGTCTCAGAGGCTCATTTTTAACTAAAAGTCTCACAATGAAGCCTCGTTTCTGTACCACGTCCTACCTGCTGGGAGCATTAGTTGTCAAGACGCCTCCATTAATGCTCTTTCATCTTCAAGTAATCACTTTACAATCTGATATGAGGATTAAACTTCATGTGGCGAACTTGTACAATAAAAAGCAGTTATGTTTTCATCAGATTTACAGGGTTTATGCAAAAATCATGTTTAAGTGTTCCTGCTTGAGTGAGCGTGTTCACATGTCATGTGCGTGACTGACATATTTCCCCATCAGCCTCATTCATCTGTTTAAAAAAAAAAAAAAAAAATTAAAACTGAACTCAGAACACGGAGAAACTTTCCTGTCTGTATGGCAAACTGACAATTCTCATGATTACTGCCCGTCACTCAGTCCCTGCTTTGTGGACCTTAATGCTTTTGACTCCACAGTGATGTCATAGAGTGGCAGAAGTAGTTTGTGGGTCACCAGCTGCAGAGCTTATTTGCTCTGATCACATTAGATCAGAAAAGACTCTTGTGTGCTGATGCCTGCATGGTGTTGAGGCACTGACAGTGGCAGTATTGAGTGGGCGATGGGTGGAACTGATGTGTGTATACTTGTACAAGTGTAATGCTTTAGTCTATGGCGTCTTTGTACACGCTGTGGTGTGGCCTGTTGCATATGGGTATGAGTGTGTGTGTGAGGTGTTGGCAATAACTTGGCAGTCTGGGTAGGGTGGGGCAGAAAAAGGTTTTCTCATTACTGTGGGTGGGGCTGTGAAGGAGTGGGAAACTGGCACTGAAATAAAAATGAGACTTCATCTGCAAGAAAGGGGTGACTTAGAAGATAAGTGACCTGATCATCTGATTTTGTTTCACTTGTTGTTGAGGGTTCAAAAGAAGTTGGGGAAAAAAGAAAACAGAACTTTCTCCTAGTATTTTCTACTAGTTTTGCCTACCCCATTGTGTCGTTCTATTAGTTTTGCTTTGTGCCATTGGCAGGGGTGGGTGGCATAAGGATGACAATGAAGGTCCTTATCAAAGCTAAAATCAAATAAACCATCAAAGAGTCCTTCTCTTCGGTGATCTCCTACAAAGCTATTCACAAATAAAGTATTTGCTCTTTTGTTCATAAACTATTTATTTAAACCAAGTTTAACAATTATTTTGAATCAATGATTGTGTGAACAAAAGTTAATTTTGTTTTTCATTTACCTCAGAAGTCAGAACGCTGGTGATGTAATGATGTCACACCAGCCTCAGTGTTTCCCCTAGATTACATGCCATGGCAGGGCATTCCTCTCGACTGTGATTTGGGGTGGAGACGGAGACACGTCTGAGCTTTGTACCTACAGTTTTCAGGTGGGGTGGGGGGGGAAATTGCTGCCTCTAGCTTTTTATCTAGCGCGCCTGTGTTGTGTACCGTTAGCGTTGCGCTACGTCGATGCTGGCAGTTACAGAAACACTAAGACTTGTGTCTAAGTTAGAAAATAAAATGGATTGGATAAATTTTTGTTCTGTTTTTGTTGAAACCAGGTGGACTATTATTAGTAAGTGATATTTGGTTTCTGTGTGTTGAAACACCGGAGCAACATGTTTTCTAATAAACAAAATGCACTATATCTCACTTTAGAGTCATTATATAATAGATGCTACAGAATTCTTTATCTCCCCCTGTGGCTCATAGTAGAATTACACAAGGCACACACCTGTGTTTAGCGCCATGTTGCTGTCATTGTTTATCAGCGAGGTGTGGGTGGAGTCATGTCTGTGTTGCCCACCTGCTAGCTTAGTGCTACGTTGCTGCTCGTTTTTATAGAAGACGGGAACGACTCGTTTTGCCCGCCCGCTACATGGCTGCCGTTTTTTATCGACGGGTGTGTGTGTGTGTTCCACATCTGTGTTTAGCACTACATTGCTGCCAGTAATTGTTGACGGGGGTGGGGGGTGGTACGTGAGCAACAATTTTGCTAGCACGTTTGTATTGAGTCCACAGTTGTGTTGATGGGCGGGACGCCCCGTTTGTATAATGGTAGGGGAAATACTGGAAATATATATGTTTTTATTACCCGTTATAAATTATTATTCAGATATGGACGTATTGCATAAATTAACAAACCTGACATGTTGCTAAAAATACTAACAACTTTTACAGTTAACTTTTTTTAAATGATTTAAGTTGACAGTAGACACTTGATTCAACCTCTTACAACACTGAGACTTTACATGACTACAACTTCTACCTTATTTAAAGCATCATTTAATAAAAACATTACCTTGTTAGAATAGCTTTAGATATATTTTCCTCTAAATTCTGTGTATGTTTGCAACATTTTGCTGCACACCATGAGTTTGCAATAGCAGATTCTTCATTGGATCAGTAACAAATGGACATCATGTTTAAGTCATGTTTTGATCTTTTTTTATACACGGCAACATTTTTTGATACTTTCATTGGATGCACTTTCACACTCAAACACAAATATGGCATACTATGTGCAAGGACAGGCTGGAGTCGACTCTTCACTGGAGAGCTTAAGGGTTTGGCATTAATGTAAAGCATCAACTTAAATGGGAAATTGAACACATGGTCACGTCAAGTTTATATTTTGGCAAAAAGTCAAATAAAAGGAGTTTCCTGAGTGAAGAAACTGATGTGCGGTAAGTAGATCTGTCCCAAACATTAACTCTGACACTTACAAATGACATAAGGTGGTAAAAGATTAAAAAGAGACAACAGCATGAATAAATACCCAAAGTCGTTTATAACCTCCAGCTGAGTGTGTGCGGGGGTTTCTCTATGCTCATGCATGTGTACTTCTGCATGTCCCTCATCCTCACTTCCTGCTTGCTATTCTCCGCTGCATCGATCTGTCTCTCCCCTTCTCATTTCATTCTTTTTCTTTCATTTCCCTTCTTTCCTCAAAGGACAACTCACCCAATACACAGGGATCAATACGCCGCTCACAAACACACGAGTGCTCAGGTGCGTGCGCGCTCACATTCATACACGGCACACATACGTTCTCGTGAAGAATCTCCGTTGTTAGTATGCGGGTGTGTGCGGTATTTTTACTTTGCAGAAGGGAGAAAACGCGTTCCTTTGAAAGGCCTGATCTGTAATTGCTGCACAGTGTTGCCTTGTTGAGACATTACTCCACTGCTGGCTTTTGTTTTCACAGTGATTTATTACGTTTTAGATATTTTGTCTGTGTGAAATTTTATTTTCTGGCTGTTTGACTCTGTGAGACAAGGATTGAAAGCATATGAGATTTAGAGATGAAATTAAAGTAAAAGCTCAGTTGATGTTTTAGTTTATAAATAGAATAAGGCAGACTTTGGGGTAATGGCGTTTTTTTCTGGTTAAGGAAAGCAGAAAAATGCTTTGACTCTGAGCCAAACATGTGTGAACCTATAAAGGTACAACAAACCACATGTGAATCGCCAACAGAGTTTAGTCCACCGTTTGGATTCCCACCTCGCCCGTGCCTTCGAAGAAAATTCCAGGTGAGGTAAATGGATGCAAGCAGCGCGAGGAAGAATTTCTGTCTCTGACCTTATAAATCCAATGTAATCTTGTTCATCCCATGTGGTCCTAATGCGAGACTGAAACGCAGACCTTTGGGGTTTTAAATGTCCCACACGTGACATTCAATTTCATGTGAGTCAAGAGAAACTGCAGAGGCTACCAAACGGGATAAATGGAAATGTGTGCTGTCAGCAGATCAGAGAAGAGTTTCATTAAAGTTTCTTTAGTTTACATTTCTGCCCAGCGGAGCTAATTACGTTTAAAGGACAGATGCACACACACGCAGCTGTATTTTCATAGAGTTCCCATCTTTGTACATTAAACATTACTCAATCCTTCTGTCTTTGTATACATTCATGTGTGTCAAGCTACATGTGCATCTGTGTAATGGTATGTCCTCTCACACTGCTCGCATGCCAAATTACATCCAGCATGTCTTGCATTTGCATTCTGACGGAGTGTGTGGAGGAGTGTGTGTTTTCTGGAGGAAATTAAAACTTGAATTTAACTTATTTGCTGTACTCGTAAATTGGCATTGCTTTGTATCCGCTACAGGAAATTAGAGCTTATGTTTGAATCTCAGTGTCTGTGTGTGCGCGCATGTGTGTGTGTGTTAGACACTTCAGTTGCACTTATTGCTCAAATATTATAATCTGATCATACACTGCTGTTCCCAGAATATGATTTTAGTAGCAATGTTTTATAGGCATGCAGGCTTTTTAATTTAGTGTTTGTTTTAAATCAAATCAACCACAACGAAAAAACTTTTTTTTTGGGGTGGGATTGCCTTTTCTCTGTTTTCATCAACTGTCCAGCTGCTCATCTTTACCATTATAATGAAAAGCAACAGAAAAAGCAGATACACATCATACAATATATTTAAAATTGTGTTAATGTTTACCAAGCAACTGTTAGCTACAGCATAGGAAATAGGCCAACTGAAAATTGATGGATTTGTCAGATAATTGTCAGATTTTTACATTTATTTTTAACCGGCATGTGGAAGCATGACTCCACAGTAAATTAAATATATCTGATAGTTTTATTCTAGGGATGATACTTATAATTTTGTCTTCTGCTTTCTTAGTTTGTTCAGCGTTCTTAAAGAAACTCTACAAACCATAAAACATGACAAGTTTTTGGCTAATAGGCTGGACTAAAGAAAAATAAAGTTCAAAGGGTAAAAAAAAAAAGTTTTTACCTCCAAAGAGCTTAATTTGGGAAAGTAAAGCTCAAGACCATTTTTATAAATTACAACAAATTTGGATGCTTGAATGCAAACTTATAGGAAAGACAGGATTGCTTTTAAGTTTTGTTTATTATTTATTGTTAATAGATTTTAATGTGAAAAAAGCTGTTGGGGGGAGGGGGGGGGGCGCTGCTTCCT